CCGCTTAATGGCTACTAGCTCGTTGATCTGGTACTTCACCGCTTCTTGTTAAAAGATCGACGATTCTCCTGCTGGATCTTGTTGATGCTTTCCTGCGCTTCCTTTCGCAACTCTTCCCGCTCAGTGTCCAACTCCTCGATGGCGGCGTTCTCTAAGAGCTGCCGCAATTCAGGGATGACGTTAACTCCCATCTCGACTCCCGTTAACAGCCTGAAGGGTGAAATCTTCGTACTTCGCGGCGGCGCGCTGTTGATGGCTTGTTGGACTCGCTCAAGATGTTTGTACCACTGATTGGGATCGTCGACGCACATTTTCGTTAGCATCGGGATGATTATTTTGTGAATACGCTCCACCTGCCCATTTCCTCTGGGGACACACGTGGCTACCAGAAGATGCTGTATTCCTTCGTGCTCGCAGTATTCTCTGAAGGAATTCGAAGTAAAAGCCGCGCCGCGATCCGAGATGATGCGTTTCGGATTCTCAAACGTCGCCGCCTGCCACTTCAACTGGTTTATGACGACATCTGCTGCCGTGGTTTTTGATGCGTAGAGCCACACAAACTTTGAGAAGGCGTCCACTACACCGAAGATGTAACTACATCGCTTCGACGTCATTTCCATTGGCCCCAGATGGTCGATGTGGTAGGTCCCTAGTGGCCTATCTTCTTTGCTTATTGGCGCCAGATAACCCTCCATCCTCCCTGACTTGCTCTCCGCAACGACGCACTCGACGCAGCTCTTCACTATTTTCGCCGCTTTCGTAGACAACTGTGGGATGTAGAAAGTCTTCTCGACTGCTTCTTGCGTCCTTTTCGTTGAGAAATGACCCTGGTTATGAGCGACTTTATAATTTCTTCCTCCATCGACTCAGGCACGACAATCAGTTCCTTAATGGGATCTTTGTGCAATACCTGGTGCTTTATAAAAAAGTCCTCATACTCATCCTTCTCAAGTACCTTCATAACCGCCGTGATCCAGGGGTCCATCATCTGCGCTTGTTGCAGTCGGTGCTGCAATGAATCTACCAACAGCAAGCAGGAAACTCGGCTTAAGGCGTCGACGTGTCTCATC